CTTACTCTCTCTCTCTCTCTCTCTCTCTCTCTCTCTCTCTTTTTAATGATGTCCTTTTTTCTATGAATTATGGAAACTTTCTTATTGTTTGAATGGTTACGAGCTTGTAATTTTGAGAAGACTAGAAACTGGCCCTAGCAATTAACAAAAAAACGCATTGAGATTGATCTCTACTGTGGAACTAGGTCATTGTGCATCTGTGGCTTTAACCATATATTGTGTCCCTTGGAATACTAAAGAATGGGCTTGGTCACTTTAATTTTATTATTCTTATGATCAAAAGTATACATTCGATTGTAATAATATGGAACTAGGTTATGATTTCTGACCATTGTCAGTAAACTTGTTGAATCAACTCGGTGCTACCTGAGTCGAGTCATCTCATCATCTCAGCAAGTCTCCAAGACTAATCCGAGTCACATACCATTTGATACTGTTTCTTAAATATACTCGATTGAGTCTCATTTTGACTCAGTTGAGATGGCACAAAAGGACTCAGCTTGGACCAGGCTGAGTCCTGAGCCTGTTCAGAGGTTAAAAACATTCTAATTGCATTTCTTTTCATTTTTCGAATAAGCATAAAAAGAAACTTAGTAACCTTATAGCTCACCCAAATGAAAGGTTTTATATTATCCCCCCTTTCGTCTTAATAATTGAGGAGGTGGAACTGGCATTAACCATGTTCGCCTTTCTAAACCTAAGATGGAATTCTTTTATACCCTTTATTTGCTCACCTTCACCATGTACCAAAAACCTTAAAGAACAGCATCTATTGCATATCCATGCACCTTTTTCTCATATGACTAACTACTGTTTCCCTTCACTTGTCAAGAACAGTGTATCAAACCAAATTGCGCTATTGGTAGAAAACATATTAAAATCAAAATTCTCTATAATGGGAACATGTGTCTTTCACTATGTAAAGCGTTGTTACAGAATTCAATGTTAGTGTTATTATACTCATGTTTTGGTGCTCTTTGCATCATTCCATGATTAGTGCGATCAAGGAACTTCTACTAGCTCTGGCCATTCCTTGAACGGATTTTGGTATTATAATTATCTTCTCCCGGTTCATCTATAAGGAGTTTTTTCTCCGGTAGGCTTTTCTTTTACTTCAAGGGGTTTTGATATTTCAGTGCTGTTTGATCATATCTCCCCCTTTCTCGCAATCTGTTCTGAGATTTCATTCTCTTCTATCTTCAATATTCCCAATCTTTAGGAATTGGGCTTGGGCTTGATTGGTTAGCAATTGACGTCAAGAAGCGCTACATCTCGAGTTCGATTCCTACCATTGAACTACCCACAAAAAAAAGTGTTTCCAATCTCTCATGTTCATGACATTTCCTCTATATGACATTCTTAAACACCTTCCTAATGAAATCATTACTTTTAGAAGCTGAAATGTTTAAAGAATGCTTACATTGCCTAAACTTCAATGTGTCAACCCTTGACTTTTCCTTTAAATCCATTATGTTCAAGTCTCATGAGTTTAAATCGTAGTTGTTGGAAGCAGAGCGGGCGCCAGAGGGATTTGGGAATCGCAAGCAGGGAATGGTTCTTTTTTTCCCTTGGTACGCGCCATCCACACAATGCATATCATAGGGATCGAGATCTCAGGCTTTTAGGAATTGAGCTCCCTACTATTTGGGACGTAGTAAAGGAAGGGGTTGCATGTGGAAAAAGGTTTGAGGTTCTATAGTTTGAACCAAGAATCCCTTAGTATTGGAATCGATGTATTGAGTACCCTTAGCCATGGTTCCCCAAGTATCGGAATCAAGGCCCTTAATTTCCTTTAATGAGGGTCCCCCTGGTACATGAATCGAAGTATCAATGCCCCTAATCAGGATTCCCGATCAGAATTGGAATCAAGGTCCTCGAGTGCCCTTCTTTAGGGTTCTTTATGTATTAAAATTGAGGTGAAATAGAGTTTCTTGACATGCCACCCTTCATCGTTGACTAAAGAAAGTACAATTATTTGATTAATTAATAATACATTTTAAAAAGAAAGACATTTATTTTGGCTCTCCCCTATTATTAGGAATTTAAGATTGAGGTTAAGTAGAGTTTTCAGACATTTTATCCTTCTTCATTGAATAAAGAAATAAGACATTTATTTTGGCTCTTCCCTGTTATGAGGAATTTATTATTGAGGTTAAGTAGAGTTTTCAGACATTTATCCTTCTTCATTGAATAAAGAAAGTATATTTTTTATATTAATTAATAAGATATTTTAAAGAATAAAATGTTTTAAATAATTTTTAAAAAATTCCAAAGATTCCATGATGTTATTGCAAGCATTCTATATCCCTTTTAGTATTAGTTCTCTGACAATAAAACCGCAAAATAGTATTCTGTTCAATGATTCTATAGATCCTTTTATGTAATAATCATTTTGTATGTCTACACTAGTGTTTCAAAAGCGGACCGCCCAACGCCTGGGCGGCGGCCGCTTAGGTGGTTCTGGGGGCATGGGAGCATTGCCCAGTCCTAGGTGCCAAAAAAAAAGCGGATATCCCTGGGCGCCCACCTAGGCTTCTGGTAACGTGCCTAGGCGGCTGCCCAAGGCATGCGCCCCCCAGGGGTGGAAATGCCACTCGTTGAGGGTATTTTTGGGTCATTTTTTTAATACTAAAGGTGCAAAAATGTGGGTTTTAGGTTCATTTGAAACCTAAAACCTATTAGAGCCTATTTTTAAGAGAGAAAAACCCAATTTTTTTTCTCTACTGGGCCGCCTAGGTTCTGGGCGCCCTCCTAGGCGTTGGGCGGCCTGGACCCCCAACCACCTAGGTGCCGCCTAGCACTTTTTGAAACACTGGTCTAGACCTCAATCCCATGTTGATTGAATCACTGCTTGATGCAACTATAAACCTTGGGATTTGATCCTGTGGAATCTGGATCCAAATAAAGATGATCAAGATTCGTAAATAGAAGGGAGCAAGATTTCTAAATAAAAAAAAGAGATTATGGGAAGATACCTCGTCCAGAGTGCCGTAGCGAGATTCTGGAATGGAATTGCCACCTAGGGTGGAAGATTCCGACAACTATGTTTTAAATGTTGGAAAGGGCTGCTTTGGTCTTGTTGATGCCATTGAACTAGGTAACTTGGGTTAGCCATTGTTAGGGCTTTCGAGTTATTATGTTTTTAGAGTTCGTAACTAGTTTACTTTATTAATTTATTATTTGTGGATCGTTTCTATATTTTCTCAATTTGATTAAAAGTGAGAGACCCTTGAGATTTTTTTTTTTGAAAGTGAGGTTCTTGAAAGAGAATCTTGGCTGGACATCCATTTCTTGGAAGAGTTGCTTCCTTTTCCAATTTGTACTGTACATAAGTTGTATCCTATTTTTTTCTTAGGATTGTAATGATTAAATGAACTGTCAATGGACAAGACAAAAATTTGAAGCAGTCACTTTTCATACGGTTGATGGGCTTGTGAATCTCCTTCCTTGAAAAAGTATTACATGTATTTAGACTATGTGGATCTGGTTGAATTTGCTTCTCTGAGTTACCTCTTTGATGCTGGTAGAACCATAAGAAAAACATGTTTTTTCATAGGATTTTTGTTTGAATGTCATTTTTTTCATAGTTAACATGAGAAAAACTTGCAATGTTCCATTTGGTCTAATTCAAAGCTATAATTTAAAACTTTTTTCATCTATGTTTGAGAACTGTGAGGTTCCTGCTTTGATTGATATGTTTATGGCTCTTTTTGGATGCTTTAATATTTTTGTTAAAGAATTTCAGTATCCTCTTTTCTTATAACCATCAACATTTTGGAGCAGTGAACAGCAACCTTTGCGGCTGACTTCTGCCGAAGTTGAAGAGGTCATTGCTGCAGTTTGTTCAGAGGCCTCTGTTTCAAGTGCAAATCTGATGCCTGTGTCATCTAAGCTAACTAATTACACCGGAAAGCAAACTATGGATGTTGCTGTCAGTGTTCTCATCAAACTTGTTATTGACATGTATGCTTTCAGGCTACAGTGCTCTTTAATTATTCTTTGTGTGCCTTTTTTTTGTTTTTTTTTTTTGATCGTCTGTGTGTGCATACATGCTTGTGTTGCATGCATGCATGTGTGTGTCTCCATTTACATGTAGTTTTGCCATATTCGCATGATTCATTCGTTGATAAAAGTGTCTTTACTTCAAACGAACTAGAGCATAACCTTCCAAGGAAGACATGAGCTACATACCATAACATGATGTCTATTGCTCATTGTTATTGGCAGCATGTACATAAGAGGCAAAATGTTTTGATACCATACTGTTTATGCTGCTAATTCATTAATAAATGTGATTATAAAGGTATCCTATTAATTCATTGATGTAGTAGGTTTACATCAAGTGGCATGCATTTGTGGAGATTAAGATATGTATACATGGAGAAACTATGGAAGGGGATGGTGATTCCTGTGAGCATGACAAACCACTCGCCTGCTTTCTCATGAGGGTGTTGACCTTTACATTGGTAGGTCCAAAAATTTGGTGAACGACTCCTTGTAGTTTATTTGCACAGTTCTGGAGAGTCTACACAAACTCTTAGTCTAGAGAGTCTACACACCCACTTAATGTCATAAGGGAGCCGCTCTATACTGCAAAGTTTGAATCCAGCTAGCGAGGCCTATCTTTGTCTAGGATAGATCCCACACCTTGATAGGTACTGCATTGCTGATTGATCTTATGGCTGTAGTATCTCCCATCTGGGAGCAACCTCCTTGCCACACTAGCTACCAGTGAAGTTAAGCTTCATTGCTCATAGGGGAAGAGTCCTCCCAGAGGCACATGTGGCACATGTTTCATGTTTTATCATGGGTTACAAGCCACAATACCCATCTGTGTGCCAAAGTTGTGAGCTCCAGTCCATTGAGAGTAATTGCAACAAATCACCCCTGAAATTACCATGTCCCAAATCCATTTGCATGTTGACCTTAATCTCAGGTACACCACCCTGAAAAACTTGGTTGTTTCCTTGTTCTAGATGCCCTGGAAAAATTGCTGAGAGGCACAAGGCTGAGGAAAGGGGCCCACAACTTCCACATGGTAGGGACAACGATGGAGATAATCTTCTCTTCTTCTTCATGGAGCACTGGTTGAATTGGTGATAACAACCCTGAGATACTTCTTGAGAGCCTTATTGATCACTAACGAGCTGTCCAAGTGAGGTGAGCAAATTACACTACTCTTTTATAAAAGTTCCTGTCAGTCACCCCCACATTCACCATTATTTGGAACAAACCAGTGTTCGCCTACTTGGAAAGCCCCATATTCACCATTATTTGAAACAGATCAGTGTTTGCAATTTGGACGAGTCCGAGTCACTCAGACATGGCAGGCTGCTGAGTCTGAAACACTCCCCAACTTGGGGGTATATAAAATAACCTTTTTTAAAAAAATGAATTTTTACCAAAACCACCAATTTGTGCTAGAATTTTTCCCATTGACTAGATTTTTGTTCGATTTATTTAGTAGGTAGTTTATATTTGAGCAAAAACCATTAACTTCTACAGATTTGAGAGATCAGAAAAGTCGACCTGGATTCTGTCCGATTTCAAGAAATTGTGATTTTTCCCAATGGCTGATCGATTATTGATGAAAGTTGTTCCTAAGCCTATTTTGGGTTATTCATCCAAGCATATATATATTAGTTCACAAAAGGTTTATCAGAGAGTATTGAGAGATTCAGTTTCAGATTTATTATCATCCAAAATCGTCAAGACCTTGGATCACCTATATCCGAACCCAAAATGAAGATCTGGTTTGGGGTTATTGATTAGGGTTGTCTGAAGAATCTTTAGCAAGGATTGGAAGCATTCACATTGAGAGTGAAGTTTGGGGGATCTGCCTCAAAATTTTGGGAAAATTCATTTTTCCATTTTTATTTCATATATTAGATTTTTTTTCACGAAGTCAATGACAATTATCAATAGTTAATTTTGTAATTGATTTATATATATATATATATATATATATATATATATATATATATATATATTNTTTAGTTGTTCGTTTTAGTTTTTAATTTTTCTTTTTCTTTTATTTTTGTTTTTAGT